TGCCCTTCTCTTACAAATGTCTAGAGATATTGCTTGTACAGGAAATGAACTCTCAGCGCTCTCACTTATAGCAGGAAAACACTAGCGGTTCATGATATTTTGCCCATGAATCGTGCTATTTTTCCATCTTTCCAAGATATAAATGTTAAATTGCGGTCTCTATTTTAGAGAAAAGTCTATTTTTCATCTCCTTCTTCCTAATTGTCTTTGTCAACTTGATTATTGCATCGTTAAAGTAGGTAGGTTCCTCAGCTTCTGTTTTTTTTTAAACAGATGACGGCAAACCCCACGTCATTGTTTTTGGTTCTGTTTCTCTGCTTTGGCTGTGAGTATGATACTTTCCCTTAACTTTATTACCACTATAAAACTTGCACTTTTAAAGAGAATCTCGCCGAGTGTCCGGTGCGGTGAGTGCGATTTTCGCCGGTCGCCGCGACTCGGCGTACAAAATGTGACTTAACGTAGAAACCTTCTTTCCCTCAAAGCAGAGGGTATTAGTGCAAATTTTAATTTTCAGCGCCGGGTTTACGGATGAATGTCTTAAAACCAAATTACTTTGATTCAAACAGCAAATCAGAAGTGGAATTCGCCATTTGTTTTGCTTTAGCACATGATTGGTTGAACAGGTGGTGAAAGTCTTTATTTGAGACCAGTCAAAGAGCGAAGGAAACAAATTGTAAAGCAAATTCACTGCTGGATTACTTTCGACGCGCAACTGAAAATTGCAGTCACTAGATCGAGAGGAAGTCGAAAAATTTTAACTTGACCTTAAGTCTTAGGCTATATCTTTCCCTTTGCCTATACATTAAAAATTCTACAAGGGACCAGGCACTTTGTGTCACCGGGTGGGGATAGAGAGGTTTTTTTTCGGGGGAGGAGGGGGTCACCAAAAAAGTATAAGTGGGAGGGGAGAGCTATACAAAATTTACTGCCAATTAACTGCCAATGAGGAGGAATCATCATGTGGGATCAGATAATTTTAATTGTCACACAACCAAAATCCTCCGATCCCCCGACCCCCTCCCCTCTCCTCTCCTTCTAAGGCGATAAATGATGACGGGTCTCTAGTTGCAAAGAAGCCGACATCGGCGAAAATGTTAACAGCATAGACCCAATATTAATTGTTTGGTTTCAGTTCCATGGGCGAGATATGCTGTCGAAGCCAGGATAGCTCTGGTAAGGTGACAACATCATTGAAAAAAAATTTAGCAGAAAATTAAAATAACAGACGAAGAACAGCCGTTTGCTTCAGCCAGATAAATCAACGCTTTTATTCTACGCAGCTATTGCCGAAAAATGTTCAAAACGAATTACGAAGTTCTCGTAGTAAAAGTGATACCTGTTAACCCTTAAACTCCCACGATGAGTTACCGAGACAATTTCTCCTTTGATATAATATCAAGTAGACAAGTGGTAAGAATAAATAAAATTTGAGTTAGTTGATCCAATACCAAATTCTTCAAAGAAACATCGTAAGAATTGTATGGAAGACAGTGAAGAGAATTGCTAACGAGAACTTGGTAGTGAAAGGGGTTCAATCGCCTGAGTTTCGATATGAGTGGTGATAGCTGAAATAGCTAATGAGTTGTTAAAAAGTCGTTTTCATTAGTAAAAATGTAGACACATTTACCTGTATATGTATAAACTCGTACACTTAACTATATTTGCCCCAAGTATTCTCTCCAAGGCTCCAAATCTCTATGAAGAGAGTGGGGTATTCGAAATCGAATAGTCACTATGATATCCACAAACGAGCTTGAGTAACATTGGTTTTTCAGGACCAAGATGCAAATGAAGGAATAGAATCTGATCAAGGAAACAGTCGACAACTAAGTTTTGGCGGAGGTAAGAAATGACATCACTTGTTATCTGATGATAACTTTTGCTCAGGTTGTCAAAACATCAACCATACTCACAGACAACATTCCTCTTTAGGAGCACTCTTAGGCTACGAGAAATCCCTCCTTTAACTTTCGGCGAAGTTCGTTGCGCGAAACTCTGGGTGTGGGGCGCACGAAAAGTTGACATCATTTTCTTTATTGATTTTTTTAACTCAAGCGACAGACTTCGCCGAAAAGGAGGAACTGTTATTAGTGTAGAGTGCTCTCTATTATTGTAGAAAAATTACAGCGAAATGGTTCACAAAGAACATTTAGCCATGTAAATTATAATGCTCTAAAACCCAGATTCATCGAGCTAAGCCTGGAGCATACCTATGTTCCTTAGGTATAAATCAATGCAACCATTATCGCAGAAAACCATACGCCTGACCAAAATAAATAGACGCGACCCCAGTGACCGTTTTAGAATGTGCACCTGAAGATGATAATAGAGACATGCACCACTTTGATATTTTTCGCACTCAAAGGTCGATAGCTTTAGGAAATATATAATATTAGTCAGTTGGCTATGCTTCAATTTTCTGGTAAAGCATCTTAACGCGGTTTTCATTCACCAGGCCGAGTTAAACGATATATATATTTAAATGTCTACCGAAAACTGATGTTGATAGTTAAATGGGCTCGTCCAGGGCCGAATTTATCTATTACCATTCGATATTCCTGCACTCATTGTCTCCAATATCGATTGCATCATTAGGCAGTTCCAAGCCCCATTGTGGACCGGAATGCATAGACACAATACCTGTAGGTTAGTAACAAGATAGGTTTACAAGCTGAATTTTATCCTGATGACAGGTTTTTCTATCTATATCTTGCATAAAAACCTACTAGCAATCATAAAACAAGTATAAACACGTGTAGTGCGTATGTTTTCCACTAAGTTATGAAGCACACGGAAGAGGTCTGTTTAAAACTACCTCTTAAAGGTCTAAGTTCTTGTACATCATGCTCAACAATTCATGAAAAACAGTTCTCTATTTACTCTGATCATAAAATGTACCACTGCTCCTAAGTGATGGACTGAACTCAAATATGGGTACTTTCCTAGTCTCGTCGTACCTAGACCTTTCACGGCCATTTAGGTTACAGTTACACGGTAAGATCTAGGTACTACATCAGTGCTTTCTTAATAAGTGAATTTCTCAGTTCTGGCTTTTCATATAATCCATCAAATATTTCCCCTCATATGCAATACGCCTGAAAAATTCCTAAGCGATATCCCTCGGTTTTTATACCATTTTTCTGATAGAATGAGAAGATTTGTTTGAGATGTATTTAAAGATGGGAGAGCGCTTTAGTGTTACCTAAGAGGAGAGTGCTGGTAAAAATGAAATAGGGCATGCCCGAAAACACTTATAAAGCGAGCACATGATAAGGGTTTGTTTTGCCCTTGAAACTGAATTGCGCCCGCGCTCGGGGGGAGGTGGGAGAGGGGGAGAGGGGGGGGGGGAGGAGGGCAATGAGCCACTTGTATTGTGATCCGATGAAGCCTAATGCCTCGCCAGGTCCGCATTCCTGTCATCCCAATCCTTGTCGGAATGGTGGAATATGTACCTTCCTACGCCGACATCGACGTCTGGCAATGAAGGTGCCAGATGGGCTTTGGTTTAACAAGTATCATTGTGAATGTCCACCGGAGTTTACTGGTAAAAACTGCGAACAAAGTATGTATTTCATTTTCCTTACTGACCACCAGTTATATCGTTTGATTTGCACGTAGACGTCTGAGTCTTGTTACCTTTAGGTGGCCTTGTAGTCTAATTGTCATCTGCAACTAATGCCGCAGTAATTTTTTGGAGGAAAATGATTTCGTGTAATCAACTTCCCTAAATGTGCTTTACATTCTATTCTTTTGTGTACTTCTTAGATCTTTCTGTGTGCAAATTCAATCATTGTTTGAATGGAGGAACGTGTCAAGCCCTGTATCGAAGGAGTCCTTTGAATAAAAGTGACAAGAAACGTGCGATCCCTGAAGATTTTATCCCCTCCTGGTACTGTGAGTGTCCACCCAAGTATACTGGTATGCGCTGCGAACAGGGTATGTACTAATATAACTTCGCATCACTAGCCTGACCCCACAACTTTCGAGATCTCTGACCAACTTCTCCTCTCTCGTTGCTATAACTTTGCTCAAAGGGTTTTTTTGATTGCACATGATCTAGATGCGAACATAGCACGAGCTTTAAAAGTGTCAACATGCAAAACAAACATGGCGGCTCGATACGATCGTTATCTGAAAAGCTGTATTAAAAACAGTTTGACACAGTACTCTTTTTATGAGATGGAATCTAGTGTTTCCAGAGCAACTGCACCCATAAAATTCATAGGCCCTCTACACCTGAAAAAAAGGTCAACCGAAAAGAAAACACCGTAAGAAAGGTTGCCAAAAGTCGACAGAGTCGAAAGTTTACGCATGCTCAGATACTGATCTTGGTGAAGTTCTATTCCATCACTTAATATTTGACGACAAGGTAAATAGGGATCTGTCGAGTAAGATTTATCGCGTTTCCTTCCGTGGATTTTACTAAGACTTGCTGGACCGTTTAACATATTTTTGCCCTTCCTAGTGCATGTTGATTACAAAAATTTATAAGGCCAAATTTCAGATTGAGGAAGATACCACAAAATTGCAAATAGCAAAATGGCTTTTAAATGATCGGCAGGGAAACTTTCACAAATTGTGAAAATTTTGGGAGATTTCATCAGAGCAAATCGAAGAAAATCAAGGGCAAAGCCAAATTATCGCTGGGGAGCGCCTCCCATTATGGAGCCTTAGTTTGACAACGAAAATCATATTGATATTTGCTACACGAAAAGATAGTCCGAACTTTGTTCATTGCCTTTTGATGGCTTTTAGTGACCTTCAAAAGAAAAAACATAAAAATTTTCTGGAAAAACATTACGCTGGCGCGCGCCAACGTTGAGCTAAAACCCTATGGAGCCACCTTAAGAGAATTAACTGGTACATCAAAATGAAACCATTCGGCAAATATGTTTTTTGGTTCTCATTTCCTGTTTGCCTGATGACGTATTGAAATCGTGAGGAGTGGTTATATAACATTGCATTAGAAGCTAAGCGCTTAAGTATTTTTTACTTCAGTCGTAGATCCATGCATCCCAAACCCTTGCCAAAATGGAGGGTCATGTTCGAGTCAAGGATCCACGTTTAGCTGTGGCTGCAGATCTCAATATACTGGAAGACGTTGCGAGATCCTGAATGGTATGCATTGACTTGGCATCACTGGCATGACCCCAAAATTTCCGAGAATTCCAACATACTTTTCCTCCCTAGTTACCATAAACTTACTTAACGAAATAAATTTACTTAACGAATAGAGTTACATCAACAAAAAAAACACTTAAAATAAAAGTTTTTAGAGATCCTGAACGGTTAGTGACGATGCATCCAATTCAACAAACAGGTTCATATATAGGTATACGCGTGGTAGTTGTGAAGAAGTATCTCCTGATGACTTTTGGGGTACCTTCTGCTAGAAATGTGAAGGACGGAGGGATGCACCCCTTATTTATTTCTTTATCTTGCATCCGTAATACATACTTGAGAGTTAAGCTGATAAAAGCTTGTGTGTGTGTGTGTTCTGACCGGGAATTCTATCCCTGGCAGGTCTGTTCTTGCCAGATTGGCTGACACTTAGAAATCTGACGAAGATCAGCCTCTTTTTCTCTAAGTTTCTTTCTTGAGCGACGTGTCAATCAACTCTACCCTTACGGAAATCTCGCTTCACTTGAGATCTCCACCGTTGTGCCTTGCTTAAGCAGAAAAAGGTATGCGTACCAGAGTCAAAGCAAGAGGTTGATCAGAGGCGGACCAAATCATTGGTAACCTCGAGGACGACTTTGAAAACACAGAGGCCTTATGCGCTATTAGCTATGGCTGGAGAAAATAAAGTAGTCTAAGGTGAAGATATGCATCCATCAGAGCAGAACTTCCTCAAACGAAATAGTGCCTGTATGTATTTATATTTCTGAGAGAGAACGTCCCATCAGTTTGTCAATTCTAGTATTTCCTCCTTTCTAGGTGCATGTGCGCAGAAACCTTGCCAGAATGGAGGAACATGTTACTCCCTTGGAAACAAGATGCACTTTTGTTTCTGTAAACCTCAGTTCACTGGAAGAAGTTGCGAGAAAGGTTGGTTACCGTAGGATAGGCCTATGTGCCCATTTTTACGTCGTTTATTTTGTTTGATGAGACAACCTCTATATCGAGTTTCGAAAAAATCACAATTTATCCTATTTTATCTGAAACTAATCTCAATGACGATAATTGTAGCTTGCGTTTATCAAAATAATTGAATATCCGAGATCAATTCCAATGATTATTGTATATGTTTGCAGTAAATTGCAACGCTCGGCCATGCAGGAATGGAGGGACATGCCTCAGTGTAGAAAGGAGATCATTCTGCAAGTGTCCAGCTGGAATTACTGGGAATCTTTGCGAAGGCGGTGGGTATTGAGAGTCCACCCAAACGTGTACGAGTGTAAAATCTTTGAATTACGGTAATGCATAAAGGTCGAAGACTGTTCCTTCATAAATGCCTCTCTCAATATGTTGTCTTTCTCAAAATATATGATCTTGGTTCTCGGGTAATTTCTTCCCACTTTCCGTCAATCGATCCAAACTGCTAAGATCCTTCCATTGTCCCCTTCTCCTATGTGTTTGGTAATCTTTTATCGTTGATTATTTACAGAGATCCCAGTCGTTACAAAAGATCCACAAGACTCCATTCGAATGGAGGGTGATGGCATAACACTTTGTTGCCAGGCGACAGGGAAACCTACTCCTGTGTATGAATGGTAGGTCCAAAGCACGTTTTAAAGAGCTCTATGTGTCACAGTCTGGATATCCACTGAGACATTTTCCACGAATATTCCAAGATCAGCGTTTGCAATCTGTATTTTTCTTATCCACCTTTTTCTACACGTGATGACAAATCTAGTTACCATAGACAAAGGTAAAAAAAGATATTTATAAAATTATTTTATTCATCTTTCTCGTTCGGTAGGTTTCACAACAGTGCACCCCTACTGCACCAGTTACGAAATAGAAACCTACGTCTGTCTAGATTGTCTTCACGTGATTCTGGTTCATATCAATGTCGTGCAAAAAACAAGTTTGGGGCAACAGTATCCAACGAAGCGACGCTGACAGTTGTGCCTGGTAAGATATGATATCCTGTTAAGAAATCATTAAAGTAGTTCGCATATTTGACAATTATTTACCTAGTATGGTCAATAGCGGTTGATATTCACTTGCTAATCACTTCGGGCTAGCCAATCAGCCCCCGCAAAAAGCACATTTCGGACCCCATTTCACCTGTGTGGTATACGGTAATGCTTTGTATTGAACAAGGTCTGATATGTATAAATAATGCACTGTTTGAAACAACCTATGCCTATCCACGCCTATTGCTATAGCTATACATGTATGGAACTCAGTTAGAGCTTTACTTGGGCTTCTCCGAAGCACAATCTTCCAGACTTAATTTACATTACAAAGCGCTTGATTGTTATGCGGTTAGCCCAAGATAAATATGAGTTGGTTTTTCAACACTTCTAACTCTTTCTAATCAAAACATGTGATAAAATGACATTTCTTGCCTTTAAAATTACGTTTTTTATGAAAAATGCAATTTCAGGTAATCGCGAAGACTCATGCAACCCCATCCCACGGACAAAAGTTGTGTCATTGCCTGAAGGATGCACAGAAGATAGCAGTGGGAGTAACAGCGTCAATGTTGGTACTTGTTCTAACGAAGCATGCGTAAAGCGTAACCAACGGCATGCTGGAAGCTGTGGAGGACACGACTCCACTCGACAATGCTGTAGCCCAGCTTCTATGTCTGACAGCCGCGTGAGTTGCAAAAGCGGTATAAAGTTCAACATTCAGAAAGTCTCTAAATGCGCATGTGCAGACTGTGCTGTATCAAAAGTTGTTGTTCGAGGTAAAGTGGTCGATCCGATGGGAAATCCCCTGTGGCGTGGCGAGATGACTGTGAGCAATGACGTTGGTAGCCGATACTATACGGATAGGCGAGGAAATTTTAAAATTCTGGTCAAGTCAGGAACCAAGCGAATAGTATTAACGGTAAAAGACAATTTTCAAGGACTGCTGGAAGATACAACGAAAGTTTTCGAACTTCATGAGGGGCAAGTGTCTTTTTATACCATTGTTCTTCAAAAGAAACCGCCGGTGATCAAATTCCCAGCAAACAATAAAAAAAGTGTTCCCCTTGGAGGATCCGGGGGGAGACCAAATTTTGTCGATCTGGACATCCCTGCAAATGCCTTCCTCACAGCTGATGGAAGAGTATATACCGGTGAGATCACAGCAACCATTGGGGTGATTGATCCTAGAAGCCAGGCAGACATGACAGCAGCGCCTGGGGATTTTTCAGCGATTAACGACAATGGAGAGGAGGTGGCACTCGGATCTGTTGGAATGCTGAGGCAAGTTTTTACAGACAGTAATGGTAATCAGCTCAGTCTTGGTAAAAACATCTCAGTCCGCATCGACGCTGACCTGTTAGACATACCCAACGGTGTCACAGTTTATCAATGGTACCTGAGCAAGGAAACTGGTCGCTGGGTTAAGTTCGGAGTATTACGCCCTGAGCAAGGCGGCAGCTCTAGACCAAAGAGACGCGAACGAGCAAGGAAGTTCTTTGTGAGTGAAATTACACCAAATGTTCCTTTAGACAACATCAACTGGGATTACGTTACTGTTGTCAGTTATGTCCGAATCACGGCTCCCTCAGGCACAGTTGTGTCTCGCATCGGTCTGAGCGACAATGGGTTACAGTACACCTCTTATCGCCAAGATACAGTCCCTGCTAGTGGAACCCTGTGCATTCTAAGCTTACGAGACAAGCGAGCCATTCTTCAAGCTGAACGCGATGGAGCGCCTCTCATTCCACGACAGCCTACTGGCTTTCCTCTATTGGTGAACCCTGAGATCATTGACGGGTCTTCTGTGGGTAATGTTTTCAAAATCCAGTCCTTCCGGTTCACTTCCACTAAAGTAGATGATCGAGGTCCCATTTACCTCAGAGGCGAGGATGGCAGATGTTCACAAAGAAGAGCAAATGATTTTGCTTTTGAATTCCGAGATGCCAATGCAGGGCAATCGTTCCACTGGGAAAGTATTAGAATTGATGATCCCAGCGATCCTCGGTTGTGGCAGGTGAGACCTGACGAGATTTGTTTTGTCAAAGCACTTGTTGTAGGGACAAAGCCTGACTCAGTCATATATGTGGGAAGCGTTGGAAAAGCTCCTGGTCAATCTGACGTGGAATACGGTTACACTGCGGAGAAGAGTGCCACGGTTGGTGGAGAGGGTGTGGTGTGCTTGGAATACCGATGTAATGAGGGCTCATCAGGACAGTACCAGACCCACTTACAATTCCTCACACTGACAGGATCATGCACAGTTCAGGGGCTCAACAATGTTTTGAATGGTGCGCAAAATGGATGTACTGTGCCGCCAGCCAGTTCCTCAAGTCAAGAGCGCAACTTTTGTGTTCCACATTTGGTGGGAGGTGACGCTGGGCTCTACTCTGGAGATACAGGTGTGGCCAAGAACAGGTGTCTTACAGGGAACCAGCAGTACAACTCAGGCCGACCAACTACTACAAATCTGAACCCTACAGTCACTATTAGATGCCGGTAAGTAGACTTTAAAGTATCTTCAACATTTGCTTGTATTCAAGCATTACAAATAAAAAACGTTCGCAACAGATGCAGTGTCTTCATAAGTTTTGTTAAGATACCTTTGTATGAAAAGAAAAATTGTTTCCTCGACTTAGAGAGCACTTGAAATTTTGATTTTTCTTAATTATGTAACAATGGTATAAAGTCTCCCAGAACAAACGTTTGACGTTACCCTTCTGAATGCCAAACCGACAACACAGTCCTTATTAATGACTCATCACGGGCTGGACGCCTAGGTAGAGTCAAATATATCAAAGAAGTTGTGTTTATTGCTTATTTAACCCTTTAAACTCTGAGAGTGACCAGCATGTAATTTCTCCTTACAGAAGTAGTGCTGAATCATTCAGTAACATCATAAGAATAAAGGAAATGATCACAGACCTAAGAAGTTTTGATTGTTAAACAAATTCTCCTTGTCGGTACCAAAGAAAATGCAGAGATAGGAGTATAGAGAATATGGATACTGATGCTAGGGTGGAAAGGGTCAAAGCTTTAGCGAGACAGGCAAAGGTTTATAGTTGGAGCAATGATGTAGGTTGGCACCTCGAGCGTTTAAGTCGATAAGATTTTTGCTAGCGATGCGATGGAGCAAAACGTTTCCTTTGGTTTAGAGCGAAACCTTCAAGGGTTGCATTGGCAATGGACAAAAAGCTTTCTAAATCTTTTTCACGAGAGTAAATGCTTAAGTTATAATCTTTATCAAATAGTTTCCTCTCTGATTCTGGAAATTTTCATAGATGCAATATGAGATATTGTTCAATCTTACGGTCCTTAACTGAAATGGCTATGGGATTCATAGTGACATTTCGTGCCTAATGTCTCTTTATTTTTTTATTCTGTTTCAGTTAGGCATCAGCTTGAAATAGTAACCAGATGGGATGCATAGGAATGGACGGTGAACCATTAAGCTGACAAATGGCAAATAAGATGATTGACGCGTGATTTAATTTTTAGTAGACGAGATTTTAATGTAATAAATCGTTCAAATGATGGTATTGAAAAAACGAAGGCGTGATATTTTATTTGTATCCAGTCCCTTTGCAAAGCAGTGGTGCTGCTGAACCGTTTTTCCTTTTATTTAGTTACGTAGTATACTTGCCAAACTTTAAAGCCACACAACGAAAGTGCCTTTGTCCCCTGGTTTGGTCCACATTTAACCCTGATATCGAGACAGAGCGAACAAGCAAAAGAAGAATTATGAAAGTGATAAAACTTGAAATTTGGCTTAAATCACCCCAAGTGTGTCATGAGTATGAAGCTATATCTAGTGTACCCACTCCCAAGTCAATCCTTTCTCCTCCCTCTGGGCTTTTTGGACCAAATACGACCATTTCATACAATTCCATTTTTACCCAGAAGAAGTTACTGAGAAACCAACGGAGCCTGTTATCGAAACAAAGTTCAGCGGTTGTTTAACAAAACCGCGCTCTAAACTTTCTTCAGTTTAGTGGAACCTTTTATCTGAACGGTTATTTTTGTGAATAGTATTAAGAGGGCCGAACCTAACAGGGGAAAGACATTTATTTCATTAAATCAACCCTCTTATACAGAATACCTGAGGGCTAAACTCACTGCCCGCGTAAAACCGCGGTTTGGGTTACACCTCCTTAAAATATTCGGCCCACTTTTAAAGCAGGACTCAACTTGGGCGCTTTTGAGTAAGTGTAAGTTTCAGTTGATTCATTTGTATTCCAGCGTGCATCCTTGTTTGTAGCACCCAAAATTGCGGAAAAACTTGCACGCGCCCTTAATTTAACGCAACCAAACAAAGCTGCTGTCACAAGATCACGCTCCAAAGGAATATTTAGTCGATGCCTGTTCCACACTTATGGCCATACCGTAAAACAAACACAGGTAACTTCCAACCGTCTTGAATACACAAGCTCGGTCAATTAAAATTTTTTTTATAAAGCAGAGATTTGGTTATATTAAAAACTAACAACTCCGTGACTTGTTTAATCGAAGAGCCAGGAAAGTAAGCCAAATGTGTTTGCAGCACAACAAACCAACGATAGTATTATTTTTATATTTTCTTCGTTTTGACTGTCCTCTGCCGTTTTTTGAGACTTCATCATTAAAATTGTCCAAAAAATTACGAACTTTGTAAGTCCGCCCTACACACTTCTTTTTTCTTGCGCGGGATCAAAGGGTAGCCTTTCAGAACACAGGATTCGCTTCATATTGCCCACGGGCGCTGCCAGCGATATGATAAGATGGCTTAATCATGTTGTTATTAACAGTGTATGTCTTTCTGAATGAATAAAGTTTTGGACATGATGGAATACTGTATAGTAATTCATCAGTTCATCAGTTATCAATTTTTTTACTAAAGCTTCACGTGTATACAAGAGAGAAAATAAAATCTTTTACGATATTTTATTGTCATCCTCAGAATGCAGATAAAACAATCCCCATCTGTTATACGATACCATTAAACTCTACTCTTTATAATAGGGAGGGCAAGAATGACATGTTTTCTTTACTGTTTGCATAGAACAAGAACGTACGGATGTCTTGAACGATCGTGATCTGCACTGCTTGCAAATCGAATCCCTCTTCCGATTTCTAACTCGTTAATTGCACGGATCACTAGGCCGTAGTTGGGTACTCCTTTCTGCCACGCTATGATTGCTTTAGTGACGTCGAACTCCACGATGCCTCTAGGGCGATATGGAAAGATATCGACGGGGTTTACATCCTGGGGGTTCGCCTCTGCGTCAGTGTTATCCAAACCAAGGTATTGTTTCGACCAATAGGTAGATGATGAACGCTTGGAGCTGGTAGCTTGATGCTCGTTCCAGGATTTTTTCACTAAATGAACCTGCATATAACGGGGAACAAAAGGGGTTCTGGTGATGGGATGCCAGCTGGGTTTGTGTGCGTAGACATAATATAGGTACATCTTCGCAGAAACGACCTTGTCAGCTGGGCAGGACCTTGGTAGGTTTTCAAACTGTACAAGCGATCGCTTGTTAGGATAACCAGGATGTCGGGAAACGAGAAGGAACGGCAAACCGTAGTGATTGCTGTATGGCCTTTCAATCGTGACATCCTGCACCACCGATAGCCCGTAAACCAAGCCCTTGCCAGTATCGTACCTGAATACACCTTGCGTGACATGAGCCAACAGCGCCACCATCAACAAGGTTATCATCCACATGTTGCTGCTAATCAAATTGTAAAGTGAAAGTTAGCCTTAACGAAAAACTTATTTAGTGCATGCCGCTTTCCACTTTCTGCTGCATGTGAGTAGAAAGTGGTAAATAACTAATATGCTCTCTAACTCCTCTGACACCAGCTTTGAATTTGAGGTAACAGGAAATGGAAGAGGCGAGAGGAATTAAGGAGTGAGGGGTAAGGAAAAGAAACCAAATTTCCTTAAAGGGGTGTTCACTATAGTTGGGTCCTAAACCCGAGTAAGAAGAACTTTGGTTTAGAAATAGATGGGCTCGTGACAAGGGGTGTCACAACTGATTAGAAAGGGCACGAGTGAGATATCAAAGTCAAAGTTTGTTTCTATATTATCATATCCAAACAGTGTGCGTTTCGGTAAAAAGCGAGTAAAGAATTGACTTAAAACACCTGGACTGCAACAGACACGGAAAAATTCCCTTTAGACAGATTCAAAACTAATTAAACCGTACGCCATTTCCATCAACTTTTTAACAGCAAATTTAGAACTGGCGGTCCATTTGTTCCAATTTTATGCCAGAGGGAATTATTCTCAAGGAATTGAAAATTTTGAGCAACTTCTTCTGGGGATCTGGAGCAGATATTTTAAGGACTAATTCATACCAGTTATGTTGAAAAATGTTTTTAGTTCATTAAAATGCAAATTATTGTTTAGCAGGCTGGATGTTGGATGCTGTTTCTTTCCTAAGGACTATAAATAAACCCTTGCAATTCTTTTTTTTTTTTTTTTTTGATTACTTGGAGTTGCATTTTCAATCACTTAAAGACAAGGATGAGACAAGAGAAGTGAACTATCGAAAAGACTTGTAACTGCTTTTCATAGTTTTCTTGGCCACAAATATCTTTATTTGAAGTAATCGTCGTATCAAGAAATGGCCTATTGTTCCGGGTCAACTTTTCCATTAAGCATCAAACAAAAGTCCTGAGTACTTGATAGTCCTGAGGGAATTTGGCCGAAGGGAGGCGGAAAAGCTCGTAACTGATCTAATTTTGTTGCACTGGGGGAGTGGGTAGTTTAAATATGCACTAGTAAAATCAATCTCCATCGGTGTACCCAAGGGTAGACTTGACCCTCGTTTAGTGAATCGAGCCAAAGGTTCGCAAATTTCAAAAATAATTAAATTTATCCGTATTGCAGTGACTCATTTAAACCATCTCTCTCTATATGTTAGTCAAGTCACCTAGAAAAAAGTCAACGTACAAATATATTTTTTGGTCTTACTACTGGTGTTAAATACAATCGAAAGTAACGGTTTTCTGTGGAGAGTCTAGAGGCGATTAAAGACCTTGTTTCTGGCTCATCATTTTTAGAACCAACATGTTTACCTAACACGAGGATCCTTCTTTGCAAAAGCGCCGAATTCGTGTAACTATGCTGATGATACAAGATATACTGATCAAAGCAATGATTTCTAGCTTTTGCGAGAGCATGTATTTGAGTTATTTTCGTTTTCAATCAAACGCGTGGCAAGATGAGGGTGTGATATTTTTTCACTCACAAGTCTCACAATGAAGAAGGTGCGAGTTTTTTTTCTTTATCTTTTGCAAAAAAAAAAGCAGGTCCTGCTTAAAAGTAATTCTGTCTCATTAAAAACTATCAGAGTTTAACAGCGGATTTTGACAATCTTTGTTAAAAGTAAGGAGCTGTCAACAGCTTCTCCAAACAGACATAGTTTGATGCTACACTGGTTTGCAGATTTAATGAATGTAACCGAAGAAGTTACAATTCATAGACCCAACGTTTCGACACTCCTGTCTAGCTTCTCCAAATTTTCGCAGAGAGCAGGCGCTGGCGCACAGCTGTTTTCTAATGAGGCGCTCACTTTCTGGAACCAACAAGTCTACCCAAGAAGAGGATTCCTGTTTTACAAAAGCACAGAATTCTTGCAACGATGTTGATGACACAAGATGTACTGATCGAGGAAATTATCTCTAGTTTTTGAGAGAACATTTATTTTGAGTTATTCTCGTTTTCAATCAAACGCGCGGCAAGACGAGGGCGTGATATTTTACTCACAAGTCTCACAATGGAGAAGTTGCGAAGTATTATACGATTTTGGCATGTTTCATTTTTCTCCGGTCCACAGGTTAAACATGCTGGGTATCAATTTAGGATATTATTACAATTCTGCTTTTTCCAGGTGATCTAAACGCTGCAACAAGAGGTCCTTTTATACGATCACTAACTGGCTGCCTTTTTTCTGACGAGGGGTAAATAGGCGTCAAGGAAGTAAGCTGCCATCATCACGATTTAAAGGAGCGTGGGCGGAGTTGATATGCCAAGCTTCCAAACAAAGGCACTGATTGTAACGCCGATTGGTGGTGATGATTTTAGACTTTTCCCACCCAATTGTATGGTTAGTTAGGCATGTGCGCTCCGATAAAGCTGAATTTTCTTTTTTGCAAAAGAAAACCGCTTTTTGATGCTCTTTCAAACGTGTACCAAACTGGCGTTTGGTATGTCCGATGTATTCGTTGTCACAGTCATTGCAAGGAATAGAATAAATGGCGTCGGTTCGTTGTTCTTTCGTGGCAGGATCCTTAAGTTTGGCAAAAATATGCCCTAAAGTCTTAAAAGGTTTTTGAGTAACATCAACGTTGTGGCTATTCAAAATTCTCTTATTGGGTTCCATAACAACCGGAATGTTAAGAATAACAGCAAAACCATTCGCTGGTTCCCTTTCATCAGAAGTGCTACAAGCTGTAACTGGTTTTTGGCAGTTACGGAGAAATGTTTTGTATAGCCATTCGCCTTTAGGACATAAGAAACATATTTCCTCTCCTCAGCCTTAGAATCGAGTAAAGATGGTAGACAGTCAGCCCTCCTGAGTAAAGTTTTGGCTACAGACTTTTTATGGCAAATCGGGTGGTGAGAATCGAAAGCGATGTATTTGTCGGTGTGGGTAGGTTTACGATAGACACTTGTCTCTAAATTCCCCTGAACCCCTCTGGACACATTTAAATCAAGAGAGGGCAAATGTCTATCCTTTTCACGCTCAAGGGTGAATTGGATAGACGGCTTCACTGAATTCAAATACGATAGGAGGCGTTCCGCTTCATTTCCGGATACCGCAAAATAACATCATCGACATATCGTTTCCAGAAAAAGGGTTTAACTGGTGAAGTGGCTAAGGCCCTTTGTTCCACGTCTTCCACAACCATGTTGGCAATGACAGCAGAGACGGGTGAACCCATAGCTGCACTAAAAACCTGTTGATCATCACGCTCCTTTAAATCGTGATGATTGCGGCTAACTTCCTGAAGCCTATTTACACCTCGTCAGAAAAAAGGCAGCTAGTTAGTGAGCGTATAAAAGGACCTCTTGTTGCAGCGTTTGGATCACCCCCGATGAAGGCGCGCACTAGACAGGAGTATCGAAACGTTGGGTCTATGAATTGTAACTTATTCGGTTACATTCATTAAACCTGTAAACCAGAGTAGCATCAAACCATGTCTGATTGTTCACCTGGTTGCTATGTGAACCTTATATATTAGATTAAAAACATTTACAAAGCACTAAAATTAGACTACTTCTTTTTGACACTTCAAGGTTGTGTATAGATTTTCGTTGCGTGTCAAGCATTGTGGGACTAGTTAATGGCTCTTGTTCTCAGAGATGCAGTTTGTGAAAGATTCCCTGACATCTCAGCAGTGTAAGATCAAGGCAGCTGGAACACTTTAGAACTTTTTTTCCTGTTTTGAAAGTTGCCGTAGTATCCAAAATATTTTGGTAAATAATTTCTCACCAACCTAGAAACGCAGGATAATTCAGTAGAGGATGTTTACCCTAGGAGAAATGAGAATCTGATCCTCGTAAGTTCTTCTCCTGTTGGGAAGGCAGCCGTGTTCTCCTAAATTTGTTGGTGATTAATTTTGCACATGCTTAAGAAAAGTTAAGTTCGCAATAGTTTTGTCCAATATTATACGCAATCGCGATAACAAGGCAGTTGGAACACTTTCACCGAAGTCTTGTTCCTGTTTGAAATACTGCCATCTACTTCAAAATTTGTTAATAAATATCTACATGCTCGCTTGGGAAACGTCACGTACTATACAAAGGTACATATAGAATAATTCCATTATCGTTTTTAGATTATTTTATGAATTTGGACAAATTAGTAGTTATTATTAATTAAACATTCACTTTATCGCATTTTTTACTAAATAAATACATCGAGATAACAATTCGACAAGAAGGACGAAAACAATCATGCTGTTAGCTTGTGAACACGACATCAAGAACTAAACCTTGACCCAGCGCTTACTAATAGGGTTTCCGCAATTACATTTCGACAGCGGTCAAGTTTTTTTGGTCTAATGCCAAAGTTACTTTTGATATTCATCATAGGACAACACATCAAAAGTAGTTGTCTTAGGATTGTTTTCAAAGATTGTTTTGTTCGCTTTAGCAACTTTAACAACCCTTGAGGCGATTACTTTTGTTAATAATCCCATCAGTCATCCGAAAGCTTTCAAACTGATATATGGAAGAATAGTAAATGGTCCTCAATTTATATTATCATCTATGAAGCTATCAAGAATGTTCAAGTCGAAAGACTGTGAACAGCCGAAAATCTGCGACCGCGGTATCACATCATACGTTCTACAGGAACAGAGAAATAAAATTTAACATAACCTTTTTGCAGAAATTATGTTCCCTCTCGGCTTTTGTAATTGTTTCTTTTCTCTTCAGCTCTGTTATGCGGAGATAGTTGCGGGAAAACAGCTTTGATAGCAATGACACCCTTGAGCTTTTTATTCGTAATCTGAAGAGCTGAAAACGCACAGTTATTCAAGGTATGCATAACGTCAATATGTTTTTGTTGCATTTTATACCAGACTTTTCATCTCTGCCCCCCCGTCAGTTATGGAGAAGGAGTAATTAGCCACCGGTGGTTTCTTTTTTGAATGGAAGCGAAAAATCGTACCTGGAGAGTAATAGGAGAGGTCCATCCCTAAGCATTACAGATTACAGTCATATTATTTATTGTTATTTTATGGGACAAGTTCAGGGCTTTTACCGGGAGAATCAGGACATCCCAGTAAAACGGGTGAACTGTGGCTCCTTGAGGTTGTGATATCGACCCACCGTCCCTTCGCAAGTGTAATTTCCTTGTTTTCAAACTGAATCCGTGACTTTACCAACAAAACAAGAAAGAAACAACTGGGTCGTGTTAACACGTATGGCTGTAAAGGAAGTCGTGAAGACCTTTAATCCTGCTCCAGAGCGTAGCAGCAGAAGATCTCGGGTAGTTAATTCCTGTCTAGCAAACAGGATCTTGTAAGTGATAATGAGCTTTGTACTGCTCACGCACAGGCAGACAACCTGTGTGTTTGAGGCCACGTGACGTTAGTTATTTGTTAGTTGAACTCTTACATTATTTGTAATTTGCAACGGTCGATCTCGGTAAGACGCAAGTGATCCCGAGAAATGTGTCATAAATTCCGCAAATCGTAAAATTTCATCCCCAAAATCGCTTGAAGACAGTCAGATAAATAACCACTTACCTTCGTTTTTCTGTGTTGTCTCGAGTGATTTTGCGGGGTTTTGGGACGGTTAATTCCCCACTTCGCACTGATGCCTCTCCAAAGGCAAAGGAAAAACACAAGGCGTGCAACTTCCAGTACCGTCTGGGCCGAAAGCCTCCAGAACTTCGCTGAATTCCTTCCGCTTCCAAATGTTGCTCCAGCCAGGGCTGGTTTGCACCGTCTTTCGCCCGACACACTATGCATCGGCGTGGAGAGGGTCGGGTGAAATCTGAACTCGGTTAGTGATTAATTTGAATTCTAATACGGTTAATCGAAGGCTTATGATCGACCTCTTTAGTCCACATCATGTGTCGACTTCATATGATGCGCGAGTGTCAGAAATCGAGCAGGCTTTTGAGGTGGTTAAAGGCGGGTAATTGCACCGATTTTTGGCTTGGCTCTTGCACGTTTATCGAATTTTAACGTGCCCGAGGTTGGGAGGTTAGCGACATTAGGAAGCGGAAGAAATTCAGCGATATCGTTTTGAATTTGTCTCTCTCTGCTGGTAATCGGTTAGAGTTAAGCTGCAGACGTTTCGATTGTTTACTGCTATACGTACTTGTTCTTCAAGGCTTTGTTTTTATTTTACTGATTTGAGTACCTAATTACCGTAATAATTTGTCAAGAAGAACGAAAACAATTATGATAATAATAGCATCTGAACGAAAACACTAAATGAAAAGCTAACCCGTGACACAACGCTTCAAATTTTTTTTGGAACATTTAAGTTCTTTGGTCTCATACAAAATCTACGGCCTCAGAGGTTTTTAAGCAAAGTCAGATCGCCGATCATTGTCGGGGGTGAGTCTTGACAAGCCTTGTTAGGGAACGGTCATTATTTATCGCCCGCACGGGTCGGAAGATTTTGGTTGTGTCACAGCAAAATCTGCCTCCTCTCCCTTATCAATAAAGGTTCTATAACATAACCATGATCCTTCCCTCACTGGAAGTTAATTTGCAGTCTTTCTTTCCGCATAAAAAATATTGAGAGCGTGATCAGGAAAAAGCCGGACAGGACAGTGGCCAAGTGAGCGGGGTAACTAATTCCGTTTTGTACCGGCAGGAACTTTTAACCACAATGTTCCTTTGTTTAGTCGTTCTTCTGGAAATCGACCAAACTTGATGAATCTCCCGTTTTAAACGTATTTTAGTGACTCAGACCACTAACGTGAGCTGTTGCCGCCGGGTTTTGATGACAAGTTTCGAGCCAAGTTGGTTTCAGATACATCGAATTCTTCGTTTACACGCTACAAGCGGCTTCTTTAATAACATGTGTTTGATCGACATGGATCGCTTCATATCATTCGCGTCATAATAATTTTACTTGCAATTTGATCTAAAGTAGCCCATTTTGTCGAAGACCATTGTCATGCTCTTAATTTTTCAGAGTTTCCTTGAAATAATTTGACCATGATTTAACAGACGATTCCTTTTTAAATCATAAGTTAAATATTTTGCTCTTTTGTTCCAAATTCTCCTTGAAATAGGGGAGGCTAACCGTCGTTTGTGTTTGAGTGTGGTAAAATAAATGTGACCTTGGCTTGCTAGTTTGTGAAGTATCGGTAAGACATACAATTGAAAATCAATCAAGACCAAAAAAACCACTTTTAAATGAATAATAATATAGCTGACCTCTCTAATAATCGTTAAAGCCTCTGATCTTGTTAAGAAAAGCCAAATGGATGTGTCTGATAACATGATTATGAAAATCTTATCAATTCGGCTAATTTTAATATTGATTTTAAGAGGTAGATAACAATCTTCTAAATTAATTCAGCCGGGAGTCTCACGAATTTTCAAGAAAAATTAACATCAAGCTTACAGATAAAAATAATGATAATCAGAACAATTATGTTGTGTCTCTGTTCATTGTCTCTTACGCTGATTGGCACTGAGTGATTAGATCATTCTACCCATGTTGAAATAATGATAAAAATGATGTCATCAATCTGTCAATGGAAACTGCGCTCGTAGTATAGAGTATTTCGTAAAATATTGTGAAGTAGAGGGAATGCGGGAATTCATACTGTACTCTAAAATATTTTCGACCAGCCGTTATTTGACATCATGAAGAACCCTTGTGTGACCGCAGTAATTATCAAGTATCGGCATGGCTTCTTTGATTCCTCCATAATAATATATCTTAAATTCGAATTTCATTGCAGCGGAATGGCAGGATGAACTGCAAAATAGTGGAGGGGGAGGGGGAATAGCACGTTTCAGAGGCAAAATATAATGAACTGCTAGTGTCTCCTGCTATAAGTGAGAGCGCTGAAAGTTTCATTTCCCATTGTATAAGAAACATCTTTTTAGTGACTAAGGCCCTTTGTTCCACGTCTTCCATCATCGTGTAGGTACTGTTGTATGCAAATTGCGTCCTTTTGAGACAAGAAGACAGCAGATGAATAATATTTTCCACAGGCAAGGAAGTTATTTGTCGCTCCTCCGCAACCTTAACGGCACTTGCCAATATGGTAATGAAAGACATGGAGCAAAGGGCCTTAGCCAGGGCCTTAGGGGCCTTGGGGAGTTTGGGGGCCTTCGCCACTTTACTTGTGAAACCCTTTTTCTAGAAACGATATGTCGATGATGCTATTTCTGCGGTAACCGGAAATGAAGCAGAAAGCCACCTATCGCACTTGAATTCAGTAGGGTCGTCGATCCAATTCACCCTTGAGCGTGAAAAGGATAGACATTTGCCCTTTCTTGATTTAAATGTGTGCGGAGGGGAACAGGGGAATTTATAGACAAGTGTCTATTGTAAACCTACCCCACCGAAAAATACCTCGCTTTCGATTCTCACCATCCTATTTGCCATAAAAGGTGTGTAGCCAAAACTTCACTCAGGAGGGCTGACTGTCTACCATCTTTACTCGATTTCAAGGCTGAGGAGAGGAAATATGTTTTTCATGTCCTAAAGGGGAATGGCTATATCAAAACTTTTCTCCGTAACTGCCAAAAACCAGTTACAGCAAGTAGCACTCCTAATGAGATTGAACCAGCAACTGGTTTTGCTCAGTGTTATTTCCTACATTTAGGGTGTTATGGAACCCATCAAGAGACGTTTAAGATGCTCAAAAGCATTTTCAGACTTTGGGGCATATTTTTGCCAAACCTAACGATCCTGTCACGAAAGGACAACGAACCGACACTATTTATCACGTCTATATGAGCCGAAGTGCTGCCGTCGTGTAGCTCGTATTCATTTGCAGCACTGTTTCAAATTTAAGATACAGCTTTTCTTTAAAAATTCCAACGTGTTAAATAAGACAAACAACAGACCGCAACGCTTTTTAGCCTAGCTGATCTATCGAGCCTTTTCACCTACCTACAGCTAAATTTCATCGTGGGGTTGCTTATTGTGGTAGCCGGTCTTTCTAAGTTGCACCGCTGGTTCCCCGTAAAGCATCTGTTCTTGGCCACGCCTGCATCTCCAGAGTACAGCGCGGCGGCACCACCTACCAAGTCTGGAACACAAACGTTGCGCTCTTAACTTGAGGAACTCGCTGATTTTGTGCTCCATCCAACACATTGTTGAGCCCCTGAACTGTGCATGATCCTCTCAGCGTGCGAAATTGTAAGTGGGTCTGGTACTGCCCTGATGAGCCCTCACTACATCGGTATTCAAAGCACACCACACCCTGTCCACCAACTGTGGCGCTTTTCCCTGCAATGTAATCGTACTCCACTTCGGATTGACCAGGAGCTTTTCCAAACCCGGCTTAACATATATAACTGAGTCGGGCTTTGATCCTGCAACAAGTGCTTTGACAAAACAAATCTCGTCAGGTCTCACCAGCCACAACCGAGAATCGTTGGGATCACCAATTCTAATACTTTTCCAGTCGACCAATTGCCCCGCATTAGCATCTCGGAATTCAAAAGTAAGATCACTTGCTCTTCTCTGTGTACATCTGCCATCCTCGCCTCTGAGGTAAATGGGACCTCGATCACCTGCTCTGGTGGAAGTGAACCGGATAGACTGGATTTTGAAGACGTTCTAGTTCCCCACAGAAGACCCGTCAATGATCTCTGGATTCACCGATGGAGAAAAGCCAGTAGGCTGTCGTAGAATGAGAGGCACTCCATCGCGTTCAGCTTGAAGAATGGCTCGCTTGTCTCGTAAGCTTTGAATGCACAGGGTTCCACTAGCAGGGGCTGTCTTGGCGATTGTAGCCCATTATCGCTCAGGCCGATGCGAGCTACAAATGTGCCTGAGGGCGCCGTGATTCGCACATAACTGACAACAATACCATAATCCCATGTGTCCAATGGAACATTTGATGTAATTTCACTCACAACGAACTTCCTTGCTTGTCATCTCGCTCTTAAGTCTAGAACTGCCGCCTTGCTCGGGGCGTAATTTTCCGAACGTAACCCAGCGACCAGTTCCCTTGCTCAGGGACCATTGATAAACTGTGACGCCATTGGATATGTCTAACTGGTCAGCGTCGATGCGGGCCGAGATTTTTTTACCAAGACTGAGCTGATTACCACTATTTTCTATAAAACTTGCCTCAGCATTCCAACAGATCCGAGCGCTACCACTTCTCCATTGTCGTCTATCGCCGAAAAATCCCCAGAGGCTGCTGTCACGTCTGCCTCGCTTCTAGGATCAACCACCCCGATGCTTGCAGTGATCTCACCAGTATATAATCTTCCATCAGCTGTAAGGAAGGTATTTGCAGGAATGTCCAGATCGACAAAGTTTGGTCTCCCCCCAGATCCTTCAAGAGGGATGCTTTTTTCTTGTTCGGAATTTGGGAATTTGATCATAGGCGATTTCTTTTGAAGAACGACGGTACAAAAGACACTTGCCCCTCATGAAGTTCGAAAACTTTCCTTGTATCTTCCAGCAGTCCTTGAAACTTGGTTTTTATAATCAATACTATTCGTTTGGTCCCTGACTTGACCAGAATCCTGAAATTTACCCGCTTTTACTTATAGCATCGGTTACCAGCGTCATTGCTCACAGTCATCTCACCTCGCCAAAGGAGATTTCCTTCGGGATCGACTACTTTGCTACAAACAACAATTTTTGAGACAGCACAGGCAGCACATGCACATTTAGAGACTTTTCTGAAAGATGAATTTCATACCGCTTTCGCAAGTAACGCGGCTATTGGACATAGAAGCTGAACTACAACATTGCCGAATGTAGTTCTTTTTCTCCACAGCTTCCAGCATGCCGTTGGTTACGCTTTACGCATGCTTCGATAGAGCAAGTACCAACATTGACGCTGTTACTTTCACTGCCATCTTCTGTGCATCCTTCAGGCAATGGTACAATTTTTGTCAATGAGGTGGGGTTGCATGAATCTTCACGATTACCTGAAATTGCACGTTTCAGAACGTAATTTTAACCCAACAAAAATCACCTTATTACTAAGTTTGATCAAAATGAAATAGGATATTTCGAAACCCAACTCATGCTTAACTAGAGCTAAGAGGATACAAATTCTGTGCTTTGTCGTGTTATTGAGTTTGGAAGATTGTGCTATGAAGAAGACCATGCAATTCATTTCTTTCATAAAAACTGTAACTGCGTCCCTATGTCTGGGTATAGGTACACGTATCATTAGGTAAAGGTGGTACGAGACCATGTTGAATAAAGAGCATATACCACACAGGCGAAGAGTGCTTTTCACGTGGTTGATTGGCTGGCTTAGAAGTGATTAGCAGCTCGATATCTTCTTGCATTCATACCCACTTCGATGAATAATCATTAATCAGTCACGAAAAATTGCGAAAAAATTAGCGCACGCCCTTGATGTAACGCAAGTAAACAAAGCTGCCACATCAAGATCACACTCCAAAGGAATATTTAGTCGATGCTTGTTCAAAACTTGTGGCCATACCATAAAACAAACATAAGCAACTTCCAGCCATCTTGAGTGAACACAATCGGTCAATAAAGAATCTTTTATATAGCAAAGAGATCTGGCTATATTAAAAACTAATAACTCAGTGACTTCTTTATTAAGAGAGCCAGGAAAGAAAGCCAAATATGTTTGCAGCACAACAAATCAACGATAGTATTATTTTTATGTTTTCTCTATTTTGACTGTCTTCTGCCTTTTTTTCGCGACTTCATCACCAACATAGTCCAAAACTTATGAACTTTGTAAGTCCGCTCTACGCACTTCTTTTTTCTTGCGCGGGATCAAAGGGTAGCCTTTCAAAACAGGATTCGCTTCATATTGCCCACGGGCACTGCCAGAGATCTGATAAGATGGCTTAATCATGTTGTTATTAATAGTGTATATCTTTCTAAACGAGTAAAGTTTTGGGCATGATGGATTACTGTATAGTAATTCATCAGTTCATCAATTTATCAATTTTTTTACTACAGCTACATGTGTATAAAAGAGAGAAAATAAAACCTTTTACGATATTTTATTTTCATCCTCAGAATGCAGATAAAACGATCCCCATCTGTGATACGATACCATTAAACTCTACTCTTGATAATAGGGAGGGCAAGAATGACATGTTTTCTTTACTGTTTGCAAAGAACAAGAACGTACGCATGTCTTGAACGATCGCGATCTGCGTTGCTTGCAAATCGAATTCCTCTTCCGCTCTCTAACTCGTTAATTGCACGGATCACAAGGCCGTAGTTGGGTATTCCTTTCTGCCACGCTCTGATTGCTTTAGTGACGTCAAACTCCACGAAGCCTCGAGGGCGATATGGAAAGATAACGACGGGGTTTTCATCCTGGGGATTCGCCTCTGCGTCATTGTTATCCAAACCAAGGTATCGTGTCGACCAATAGGTATATGATGAACGCTTGGAGCTGGTAGCTTGATGCTCGTTCCAGGATTTTTTCACCAAATGAACCTGCATATAACGGGGAACAAAAGGGGTTCTAGTGATGGGATGCCAGCTGGCTTTGTGTGCGTAGACATAGTACAGGTACATCTTCGCAGAAACGACCTTGGAAGCTGGGCAGTACCTGGGTAGGTTTTCAAACTTTACAAGCGATCGCTTGTTAGGATAACCAGGATGTCGAGAAACGAGAAGGAACGGCAAACGGTTGTAGTTACTGTATGGACTTTCAAGCGTGACATCCTGCACCACCGATAGCTTGTAAACGAAGCCCTTGCCAGTATCGTACCTGGTTACACCTTGCGTGACATGAGCCAACAGCGCCACCATCGACAAGGCTATCATCCACATGTTTCTGTTAATCAAATTGTAAAGTGAAATTTAGCCTTAACAAAAAAGCTTATTGAGTGCATGCCGCTTTCCACTTTCTGCCGCATGTGAGTAGAAAGTGGTAAATAACTGATGTGCTCTCTAACTCCTCTGACACCAGCTGTGAATTTGAGGTAACAGGAAATAGAAGAGGCGAGAGGAATTATGGAGTGAAGGGTATAGAAAAGAGGCCAAATTTCTTTAAAGGGGTGTTTTCTATAGAAGGGTCCTAAACCCGAGGAAGAAGAACTTTGGTTTAGAAATAGATGAGCTCGTGACCGGGGGCGGGGGAGGGGGTTACAACTGATTAGAAAGGCACGAGTGAGATATCAAAGTCAAAGTTTGAGTTTGTTTCTATATTATCACCTCCAAACAGTGTGTGTTTCGGTAAAAAACGAGTAAATAATTTACTTAAAATACCTGGGCTGAAACAGGCATGGAAAAATTCTCTTTTGACAGATTCAAACTAATTAAACCGTACGCCATTTCCATCAACTTTTCAACAGCAAATTTCGAACTGGTGGTCTATTTGTTCCAATATTATGCCGAAGGGAATTATTTTCAAGGGATTGAAAAATTTGAGCAACTTCTTCTGGGGCTCTGGAGTCGTTATTTTAAGGACTAATTCATACCAGTTATTTTAAAAAATTTTTTTAGTTCATTAAACGCAAATCATTGTTTAGCAGGCTGGATGTTGGATGTTGTTTCTTTCCTAAGGACTTAGGGTTAAAAAAAACCCTTGCAATTCTTTTTTTTTTTTTTTTTTTTGATTACTAGGAGTTGCATTTTCAATCACTTAAAAACAAAGATGAGACAAGAGAAGTGAACTATCGAAAAGACTTGTAACTGCTTTTCATAGTTTTCTTGGCCACAAATATCTTCATTTGAAGTAATCGTATTATACGATTTTGGCATGTTTCATTTTTCTCCGGTCCACAGGTTAAACATGTCTGGTATCAATTTAGGATATTATAATTTTGCTTTTTCCAATGCCAATTTTTGTATGAAAATTATTTGAACAAAATAAAAAGAGCGTATCCAGATCAAAAGCATTCAATACCGCTCGATATACAGATTCATATAAAACGTAAGTGGAACAGACATGCACGGAGCGGTTTTTGGACCAAAGTGGGGTATAGTCTGAAGAAAGAAAAAGTTTCAAAGAAGTTTCCCGGTCTCAGTAGACCAAATTATGCGCGTGTTTTACAGTTTGAGGTTAGGAATCCGAATGAAGAAATCTCAGACACATGGGTAAAACTTACCTAACAGATCTCAGTTGTATACTGCTTGAGCTCTACTTTCGAAAGAAATCACCTAGATTCTTAACAGACTTTCCCTTTAAATGCTTAGATGAACAATACTCTAAAACTGAGCTACTTATCAAAAATAAATAGTTATCTATAAGTTTTGTAAATAATTGTTCAAGAAATTTGACAAGAAGTTTATGAACACGCAAAAGCCAATTGTTGAGTTATTTGCCAATCGCACTGCTTAGCAACAGAGTGAAGGAATCAAACAATTTTGTCTCTTTAAACCTTTAAATTGAATATTTCTTTAGGCAATAATGAATTAATAAATTCAAAAAATTTACAAAGCGCCAAAATAGACTCCTTCTTTTTGACACTTCCAGCTTGCGTACAGATTTTCGATACGTGTCAAGCATTATAGGCCTTGCTAATGGCTCGTTTTCAGGGGTGCTCAACAGTTTGCGAAAGATTCCCTGATATCTCAGCATTGTGAGATCAAGGCAGCTGGAACACTTTAGAACTTTTTTTCCTGTTTTGAAAGCTGCCGTATCGTTCAAAATGTGTGGACAAACAATTTCTCATCAACCTAGAAACGTCATGTAATATACTCGAATGTCAGCAGGATAATTCAGTAGAGGATGTTTACCTTAGTAGAAATGAGAATCTGATCCTCGTAAGTTCTTATCCTGTTGGGAAGGCAGTCGTTGTCTCCTAAATTTGTTGGTGATTAATTTTGCACATGCTTGAGAAAAGTTAAGTTCGCAAAGATTTGTCCAATATAATACGCAATCGTGATACCAAGGCAGTTGGAACACTTTCACCGAAGTCTTGTTCCTGTTTGAAAAGCTGCCGTCTACATGCTTGCTTGGGAAACGTCTCGTACTATACAAAGCTACATATAAAATAATTCCATTGTGGTTTTTAGATTATTTTATGAATTTGGAAAATGTTGGCATTTTAGAAGTGATCGCTTCTGTAGAGATTGCTGTAGAGCATTCTGAATCAGGAAAACTATATGAATCCATGACGAGCTTTGGTCACCAAAAGAATTCGGCCCCCCACCATCTACTCGAGGCGTTAACTCCTGTCAGTTATACTTATGGCTTTATTGACTTTTGTTGATGAAATCAACTAACATGTTTAATATACAAACCTGCAGCAGTATAATATCAATTATCACGTTTCATGAAATTAAAATCCACGGCAGATCTCGAAATGGGATACTTCACAAAATCTGCGGACTTCAAGCGAGCAATGTGTCTCATGACGAGCTTTGATCAAGAAAACAATTCTCACCAGGAAAGCGTAAAATGATCCATGTACTTGTCAATGTAAAACAAGAGGACTCGATTGGTAAATGAAAGAGAGGTGTTTGACTTCAAAAGTGAAATTAATAAAAGTTGACGATAAATGTAAACAGGCGCGAGGATCCACACGGCTTGCGCGTTAGGAGTGCTATGTAAATATAGGACTCTTTCGCATAATTTTCTCTTTGGAAATAACTACGCAATCACAGCATGAATAGCAATTTTCACAAACGCAGAATGATTCAGGGACAAGAACGGCTTAGATAAGCCCTGACATTTGAATATAGCCTGTTCATACTGCGTGACGTATTGTACCAGGCATGTTCTGTCCGCGATCTACAGATTTATTGGTTTATGACTCAAAGAGCGATTATCTGTTCTGCCACGACAATTCCAAAGTTAAATTGTACCAGCTAACTAATATTTCACTCTGATCAGACCTTTGACTCTGAGTCAGCATGGAGGCCAGTGAGCCGATCGGCAAGGACCTTGTTTTCGAGAGAGATTTTGACTGCATTATGTTCTGGAGATACAGGAGTATCTTTTAACGCTTAAAACGATTGGGTAGATATTTTGATAACACATTTTTGGCGTCCACACTAAGGAGCTCTTAAGTATGACATATCATTTCAATAAGTAAGTCCCAAACATCAGGTAAGCACGGGAACTTAATCCCGCGAAATTTCTGTGCGACGTTACGAGTGTATTCGGCGGTATCTGCGAAAAGGTGTTATCGTTCTTTCTTTAAGGAAAGGTCTTAACTGTGTATTACTTCGCGAGAAAGAAATTCTACTCGCTGGCCTGACCAATTTGGCGTTAAGGTAAGGTTGTATCCCTGATTATTTCTATCTGGCGCTTTATGATGACGTGCGATAAATCTCGCTGCTTAACAACGTTTGAGCCGAAAATGATGATATCCAAACCGTTTCATCGGCAAAGCAAGGTTTATCTTTGCTTCTGTGCTCTCGAAGCAAGAGAAGGAATTATTTCTGTGGTAGTTCGATGGCAGATGCTGAAAATCACATGATGTATTATCCAATTGTTGGAACCTAACATGAGCAAGATGAAAAAATTATGGAATGAATCTTGACATCGCAGCTCAAGTATTTCTTCCTTGTAAGATGATGGCCTCTTGGCCGGTTAGTGTGTTTTCTAACTAATTGTGGGTACTATTTCGCAGTTTCAAAAGCAGAATCCTAAACATGCTCTCGTTCTTTTGTTATTTTTTACCCAATCTCTTGGGTAATCAGTCCTATCTCAGTGAGGGGTACTCTGACAAGACGTTTTTAAGTTAAGCCAGAGTTCTGAAATGCCACAACTTTACTACCCGTAAACAACCGAGATGCTTGGGTGCCTAATAAAACAAATCGTAAAAGAAACCAATGTTGTCTTGTTTCCTTCGTCGTGGTAAAAGAAATTAGGCATTCATGCTCTTTCTCTATGGTGACTTTACCAGGATGTAATTATTATTTTCGGAATAACGTACAGTCAAGAACTCATAGAATCGTGAAGTCAACACATGTTGAATATTGATGCATTTTATTTCTTCACCTCTTGGAATTGTGATACGTGAAAAAGGTGTTCATTGCTAGGGCTTATAGGGACATTTCCCAGCATATTGCAAATAAGTAACGGACCAGACTAAGTATGGAATTTTCAGCCCCTGCCAATTAGGCAAAATTGCACATAGCAACGTATAACGTACATTATGGAAAAGTGCTGAGTTAAGGGTAGACGATAAAAGCGTTCAAAATCAAATTCAGGTACCGGTCTGTTCAGTTTGAGTAGACGGAGAAAATTGAATCCTCGAGTAGAGACGTTTCCTGCCAAAGAGTTCGACCACTCGCCTAAAGGTCGTTTTGATCAAAGATGGTCTTTATGGTACCACAGATATCACTAAAATATGTGGTAACATTGTTCACTTTGCGCACAGTGCTATTTTCTTCAAAGATCATTAATCAGCCGCCAGAAAAAAACGATGCGCAACATTAAGCACGAGTTCGTCCAAGAAGTCTCGAGTCTGAGATCTACTTCACTAATGGCTAAGATCGGCGATAGCGTAAGTCCCCAGTGAGGCCATAGTGTAGAATGAGATGGTTGATTTCGAGCGTCGAATAAGGAAAGATGTTTAATGTTTCATATCTTTCATGACAGATGTGTTAACATAGAGAAGGTCTCCATGGGGTTAACCGTTAGCCGTAAACCGGGCAAAATATTTCAGCCGTTGGGAGTAAAAATTGACAAATTTAAATGGTTAGTTGTAAGATAAGTTAACCGTAAAATAAATTTTTGGTGACAGCAAATGAAAGATATTAACCGTTAGCATCTCTTGCCGTTAGCCATAACATGGCCAAAATTTTAACCATCAGTCGTAAAAGCTATCACCCCATTAAGATCTACTTGGTATATCTGTAGTGCCTAGGAAAGGTGGCACCCCTTGGGTAACTTCTACTTTTCTCTTTTCCTCGCTCGTAATGAATTACTGCTCGTTTATTTTAGGTTTAAGAGAGTAAAAATTTAACCATACATGGCACACTATTTTTTTGGTCTAACGGATCAATTCTCCTTTCCTGTCCTGTCCTGTCCCAAAGTATCATCTGTCAATGATCCTGGTAACCACGGAGACGAGATATCTGCTTCAGTATTACCTGATTATTCTACCCCGAAGACTGACTATTGAACGCAGAAAAGAGGCGGGCCAATTCTGAAGAAAAACGTGCGTTTGTTTAACTACAGACAATGAAGTAAGTATTAAGGGTCGCGCACACGAACGAAACTTAAAATTTGTGTGTGATATTTCCGAGATCCATTTAATAAAAATAAACTAATGAGTTCTTTCTAAAATGCTCTCGGTATCACAACTCGGTTCAATTTGTTTTCATAAAAGGTACAATCCCATATTATTACCGGATATTAATTTGAATAAATCGAGTATGCCGTCGTTCGTAAAAGCAATATAAAAAATCTTAAACGGTGACTGCAGCTTAGTTCAAAAGAAAAAAAGACGCGAACTGTTATGAATGCTGAAATGTATTTGCAAAAGGTGAAGATGGATATTTAAAAAAAAAAATTGGTAAAATGTCCACTGTGAAATTTTCTTTTTCAGTATTTAATAATATGCAGTTTCTTAAACAATGTTTAAATGGCGAGACGGGGAGTCTACGATTTTATTTCTGTTTGCACTTTTGTTTTAAATCCCATCTTTCATTATTTGATAAATATAAAATAATGGATAAGAATTGCCTAATCTGTTTGGCGGGAAGCGTCGCACCAATTGTTAAAACACAGCTTAGAATGGCAAAATGGGTTCTTCATGTGGTTACATTCATTCCGTCGACGATGGCGCTTTGTTTTGCGTAACAGCGAGGTAATTCCCCCTTTCACAACCAAAATAATTTAATGTTATTCCCAAGGAGCTGTCAATTATTATCCAAAGGAAAGCTCTAAAACCAAACACAACACGCGGCAGACAGTAATCTATTCATTTCTCCACCTCCTTATTTCTTATTCGCTGTCGTCAAACACAAATAAACACAACACGTACAGCTGGGATCGCACTACAAAATACATCGTGCTGAACATGGCTTCTGCTTTTGGCGTGTCTCCAACACAAGAACATTATCGATTGTTTCCAGAAAACATCGAACTCAACGTCGGCGGTAAGTATTATTCAACATCGGTGTTGACATTAACGAGAGATCCCGACTCGCTTCTGGGTCGAATGTTCAGCGGTAGGCAGGAAGTAAATAAAGACAACTCTGGGAAATATTTCATAGATCGCGATGGGTCGTTGTTTCGGTATATACTTGACTTTCTGCGCACCAAACGATTGCATCTTCCAGAGGATTTCTGCGAGATTGAAAGGCTTAAAACGGAAGCAGAGTTCTTTGATATGGAAGATCTAGAACAACAGCTTGAGCAATACTCAAAAAGGCGGGAACGAGCAGCTACAGTCGTAAGCGAACAGTTTGGTTACATTACCTTACACATTCGCGGTACATATGCGTTTGGACGCACCGGCCAAGCAGACGTAACTTTTCGCAAGTTGCAAAGAATTGAAGTTTCTGGCCAAGTGTCTTTATGTCGCGAGGTGTTTGGAGAAACTTTGAACGAGACACGGGACTCTAATCCCGAAGGCAACAGATATACAAACAGATTTTATCTTAAACATAACCATATCGAGAGAGCTTTCAAACGGCTTAAAGACTCCGATTTCGACCTGGTTTCCAGTAGCGGCGGAAAGAGTGGATTAACTGCGGATAGCACGAAAAGCGATGAAGATAAATGGGACCACTTTTCTATTTACGTTTTCGTGCGGCGATAAAGTAAAAAAATCTATACGCTTCTGCTCGATAACGACAATTCTTTAAATTACACAAAGGACCAGACTAGAGTAATTTATATAAGAAGTTTTCCGTACCTCTTTTTCTTTTCTTTAAAATACACTCATTTTGTAAAAGGGAAAAAAAAAAGGTACAGTTTCTTTTGAATAAACGATGAAGTTCTAAGTGCGTATAATACTGTTCTGTGCTATACACGTACACATACAATGTTTCAGAGCTGTCAATAAGTTCTTGAAGTAAACAACTAAAATTTCCCGAAGTTATAAATGATGTCTAAGATTAGGGGCTAGATTATCCTGCACACTAAAATTAATTAATTTTCAAAATACTCCTCGAAGCGGTTATAGCCCTAAGGAGATTCACTATAAGCAAAAATTGAAGTCGTGCCTTAATAACGTCTGCTTGTTAAAATTAAGATTTCGCTGAACTTCTCACCGATCAGCTAAATAGAAAGCGCAGTTAATTTGGATCTGTCGTATTACTAATGACGGTCGAGAAATTTTTGTCGAGAAAATCACACACAAGGGCCATTAATGCACCAATACAGCAAACCTTGCCGGTCATTAAAGTGACAAAAAAATCTTTAAGAAATTATTGTCAATTTATTGCGCAAAAACACGGACCAGCTGATTCAGTAAGCGATTCCTCTTTCAGTATATTATAAAAATTGTCAGGCATTTCATTAAGTTTGAAGTGAACCATCGACCGGTGAGTAATAACTGCAATTGAACGCGAATACAGTTGGGAAATTGAAATTTAAGTTCCTACCGGCCATTCAATTATCCGGTTACCAAAATAGGGTTTATGAGCACGCTTAATATGGATAAAAAAAAAAAAAATGACAAAGCGTAGCAGCTTGCGATTTATCCAATACTTCTGCCGAATTATAAAGAAACGAGACGCTCGTAATTCATAAGACGGGAGAGAGAGATAAATCGTTATTTTCTGCCAGTGCTGTTTTACTGTTATGATAATTCTCAATGTCTTCATAATATTAGGAGGATAATTTCCTACACTCTACCGCCAATTTCTTAAAATTATGTTAATTAGATAAATAAAAGGAGCAGGTGGCGTTTGAGGAGGAAGACAATTCAGTACTGTTTTACATGAGATTCTACAGTAGGACAATCACGGTGTTTGGGAAAACTGATAAAAAGTTTAATACTAGCACAGGCATCTCATAATTTGGAAGGGAATTTGCCGTAAATAAAGACGAGTTCAGTTTTTTTTTTCTCAACGTTACGAAAATCATATGCGCTCGTGCATTTTATGTGTAAAGGGAGTAAGTTTCGAAAGAAACTGTGATACTGCGTCTGTGGGAAGTACTACATTGTAATATGGTTTACAAAAAAAGTTGATGATGCAAATTGGCCACCGTAGAGGGTTTTAAAAGCTGACGGTTCGAACGTTATCCCTTTATCAGAGGGACTGTAGTCATATAGTTAATGAGTTTTTTTTCTAACAAATGTACGATAAACATCAAAGAAGGTTGCCATTACTTGATGAACACTTGTCAATATCACAGGAAGCGGTGGCGTAGATTAGTGAAATCCAAAATGCACAAGAGTAAATTCGAACTGTACACTACTTAAATAGCTGTCTCATTTCCTCGAACAAATAAGATGTTTGTGATAACGGTGGTTTTCGCTATGCTCTTTGTTACGGATACTGTAATAAATTGCTGCTTTTCGTATAATGTTTTATATATCTTATCAAGACTACAAGCCTTCCTTTCTTCCCCTAGTTCTAGCAGATCGTACGAATCAGCCGTTCCATGCTTGACACAAGTCGGGTGTTGGGATCCGCCGGAGCAAACATTAGCAACAGGTTGCGCTAAAGTCTATTTGCCATTGAAGCAATCCTGTGTTCTTAAACCGTTTACAGGTTTTCAACTCAGTTGCGTTGCTCTCCGTGTTAGATGATTCGTTTATTGACATTCGTTTGGTGAATATCTACGATATTTCCTGAAAATGACGAAATGTTAATTAATACTCTAACTCTCAAGATCTGAAGCGTAATTCGCCCTTTTGACTATTGTTCGATTTCAAGCAAGACGACCAAATTTCTTTCGTTCTTCGTGAACCAGGTTTACCTTGGTTAGGTGCATCCTCTGTTTAGTCTAATTCACCAGCTAAATATTTCTCCCATTCATCAAGCCGCTCTTCCTTTTGTTTGTCCGTTTCCTCCACTTTGAAGTTTGTCTTTCCATCCCATTTTTCAGCCGTTATTCTCCGGCCGGCGAACCAGCGACCATTCATCACCTAGTACAAGCAGAAACGACAGCCAATAAGAATCAAGTATAATTGAAAATGAACCAATCAGATATCAAAGTATTCAAGTTGAGGTAGAAAAAGCGAGAAAATACATCAACTCCAGAGCCTTTCGAGTACCAAGAGAGACCCAAAGGGGAAAGACCTAGGGTGAAAAAAAAAAAGGCCACAAAATAATCTTAAAGGAACCTACAGGCAAACAAGTCTCAGCTCCCTCAAATGTTGCAAACGCCACTGAACAAACTCCTTCCTTGTTACGCTGTGCAGACATAAACAGCAGAATTACTGGTTAGAATAAATTCTCAAATAACCTTATGAACTACAAAGATGTGCATATGCATATGAGATTCAGTTACAAAATAAATATTCTACTGCAGCTTTAATTCCTAACAGTCCGTACTTTATCACCTCGAGTCACATATATACATGTACGCATTATTCAGTGACTGCAATATTAGCAACTTAAATCGATAAAAGAGAGCTTGAGACAAACTTCTATAACAATTATTGGAAGACGCATAAACCTAATTACAACATAACAAGTATAATTTTACAAAGTTATAGCTTTCCTGAGAAATTCCAACCAGAAACTGAATTACCGGTAACATCAATTTAAAAATGTGTTTGTAAACTTTACACCTTGTTACAAGGTGAGAAACACTCACATCGAACACGATCACCTTCCTCACTTCACCAAACTTTTCACATTCTGCTTTCATGTCATCGCGCAACTCTGTGATCAAAAGAGGATTTTTCTACAAAGAGAGAAAACAGAAGAAGTTATTATAAAGTTAGTACGGTTATTAAATCTGAATCAAACAAATAAAAGGAAAACAAATTGGAAATAAAAGGCACAATTTTATGCATGAGGCTGTCTAAATGTGATAAGATTTAATTTATAAACTATTTCAGAGACTTCAGTTCCAGCTAAAACAAGAAAAACTCTTGATTCATGTTTTGCATAAATGCATCAATCAACTTAAAATGTCAACATCCCCCTTCAGTTGAGGCTCTTGGTCTTGAAACCTTTAAATATTAGCTTATGCGATTTCTGTACATGCATCACAGTTCCCCTTATACGATGTATCACAGTAAATGCTCCTCAAGATTCTATTCCTCATTTTTTTTATCCTGTCATGCTCTAATTTCTTTCCCACACTGTGTTCTGCATGTAAAATTTGAGTAACTTTTGGCAGAAAAAACTAAAGAAAATTAACAACAAACCTCAAAGTCTTTAGCATCAAACATATTCTTGAAAACAATGATCCTTTCATTTTTTTTCCTCTCATCTCTCTCCACCCAATCCAGTAATCTGAAAAAAAAACATATTCCTGATATAAGTACATTGTAATGTAAAATCATGTATCTTTATGAGCCCCAAAATGATACGATGACATACAGAAATGGCAAACCAAATTTACTTTTCCTGTCCTTTTCCAGCTTTCTTCTTTTTATTCTTTTTCTTTTTCTTGAGAGCTGGATTGTAATCACCTTTCAGATGAAATGTAGCCTGAAAAAACCAAAGAAAGGGACAAAAAAGTTATTGATTTACTGTATGCCATTTCCTACACACTGATAAACCTTTACAAGACTGCAATACTCTAGCAACCAATAAGAAACATCCTCCTGGTTATATCACTACCTTTCAATTAGCAATCTGCTACATCTGATCTCTGACCTTTGGTGTCCCTTTGCCTTTCTAAGTGTCTATCCCACCACCTTCCCTTAAAGTTTCTAACCAAATGACCACCCTCGTTATTTAAACCTCCCCCCCCCCCTTTCACCCCTCTGCTTTCCCTTTTCCTTTTTCTCTTGCCCTTGTACATCTGTGCATTTTTTACAGGTTATACCCTTGTAGCAAGTCAAATGATTGGCAAGGTGGAAATTCAGAGCAAATTCCAGGTAAAAACCGAATAAAGCAGATAACAAGCAGACATACCTGTTCAACATGTATAGTATGTCCTTTGTAGTCAGATTCATCCAAGAGTTCTATTGCAAGATCAACACTTTCACGCTGAAAAAAAAAAAAAAAAAAAAAAAAAAAAAGACAGAGGATTAGATATCAAAGTATATCAATGAGTGAGATATATGGCTAATACACAATACAGGAAACAGAATGAAAACTTAAGTCCCAAGCAGAAAATTATCTTGTTCAGGTGTTAAATAATCTCCATCACAGCTACTGAAAAAAGTGGCTGCAAATGAGAATTAGGGACTCAACCTTCAGAAAAAAAAAGAAAAAAAAACAAGCACACTCCCTAACTTCAAGAAGTTTTCCATTTATTCAAAAGCTACATTAAACAAAATGATTTTTTTCTACCTTCAAATAGCAGCACCTCCCATCTCCTTTAATTTGACCATTTTGGTCTCTGTAGAGCTTTACTTTAGGCTTGTCTGAAAACATGATTAAAGTATTGATGTTATACATGTAATTATTAAGTGCTATACAAGTGTGGGAAGTTGTTAGCATTTATAATTCATTTTCAACTGCAAAGTCTTGCATATTCGTACTGATAGGCTTTTGACAGCACCTCATCATAGTTACAAGCAACCAGTTACACTCTAACAGTACATGTCACAATTTCAGTTTCTACCAAACACTTATGAATCAGACTTACTTGTCTCAGGATCTTGCATGATGATGCCATACTTGCTCATCATTTCAATAAATTCTTCTTCAGTGGTATCCTGTGGTAGTCCTAAACAGAAAGGATTCAAACTTACAAGCACATTACAAGACAAAAAAAAATAGATGTTAAATACCACATTTACTTTCAACCTTTGGAACATTCATTTTTAAATGCATATTACTTACTAATAGAAACTGGAGTTAACCACTGCATTAAAATGTCAGTAGACTTTTTTTTGGCAAGTCTGACTCAATATAAATTGAAGATTTTCAGCTGTGCCAATGGTATACTGGTAAATTTGTTATAACCCAGTGCTTTCGATAAGATTTGAAGAAGTTGGTTACCTCAGTGTAGCACTTGCCAGAGAATTTCCTTCTTGTTATCTCATTACTTCCATTTATAAAAAATGGCCTCAAGCAGAGTTTTTGGTGTTAAACTACCCTAGTTGATCATTAAATATCCATCTCTTTTATAACAATTGTTCATCTGATTGTTCTATTTCTGATCAAAATCTTTCATTTGCTGACATGTAAGCCTAGTCCCTGGGTTTCACACAAAAAGTCCTCTGAAAGGACATATGGTTACTGGTTACCAAGATTTTAATAAGTCAGTATGTTTTTGGAAACTCAAAATCATTTTTTGCTGGAAATGTATAAAATGTATGTTGGAATATTATGATAAGAAAATATCAGTCATTTTCATCAAAACTTCTTTGTAAAGGTAACAGTTAACTGAAAGAACTCTAGAGGATCTCAAAGCGTTTTTAAAATTCAATTCATGAGTTTGCTTGAGAGCTTCCAAAGTAAACCTGGCATTTCACAGCAGAATACCTGCCAGAGCTCCAGAGAGTGCCATTAGTCTTATTGAAAGCAACAGTCTGATAACCAGCATAAATCTCATATCCTATGATAACGGTGAATGAACAATGAAATACATTTAAATATGCTTAACAACACATATATGTAACCTGAAATAATTATTTGCAAACTCACCAGACACATAGACATTTGGATTTTTGCTGCCCTCGACTTCAAACCAACCTGAAAGTATGAAAGGGAGATAGATGTATATGATCTAGAAAGAGAGGTTTGAGTTTAAGCAAAGACTGAAGCAACCAGAATCAAACCAAGAGATTTACAATTTCTCTGCATATTAACTTTAATTAGTAAATCAAAAGTTTCAAAATAAAAATATATTTAAAAACAAAGCTTTCTACCTTCATCTGCTTTCCTTTTCTTTTTCTTTGATTCTGATCCCTGATCATCTTCTTTCTCTCCCTTTTGATCCTTGTATACAGAAAATGATGACTTTGTTTAATAGTAATTTTTCATTATATCCCTCTTCTTATCCCAGTGATGGAAAATTGGTGTTGTGTGTGTCGGGCTTCCTCACAGTTAGCCAACTTGATTTGTGGGAGAGGAGAGCTTGTAGATAGTCAGTCAGTTAGTCAGACTGACAAACAAAAAGACAGATAGACAGACAGACAGGTAGACAAATGGAAAAACAGCTACCTAGTATATGAATGAGGAAATAAATTTTAAAATCTAAGGCTCCCTAACAGACTTACACGTAGAGCAATGAATCAGTCATTATAAAAAAAAACTATTCATTAATTATAGTGGTGAACAAATATATCAACTGCCATCACCTATAAAACTGAGGAAAGTACATCACCTTTGGGTATTGAAGCAAAAAGTGAATACACATGTACAAAAATGTAAATAGCACAGAATGTTTTATTTGTACCTGGCTTTGAACAGTCTGTGGTACATGTGGACCAGCTGCCTGACTATCACTACTCACTGTTGCAGTTTGTTCACCATCAGGCGTGAAACCATAGTTCATTTGATATGAAGCAAGAAAATCTTCATCCACCTGGAATTACATCGTTAATAGTGTTAGGAAAAAAAAGAACTTTACATCAAACGAAAAACCTCCTGTCCACAAGTTCCATTCACTCACAAGGTATCAGATGAACACTAAAAGCCTTGGTTTGGCCACTTCTCCAAAACTGGTTACTTGATTCACGCATTATCATTAATTTGAATTTCAGCTTTCATTTAGCATAATCCAAACTCAACTAAAAGAAATTCATATCAAATCCCCAAGGAGGATGATTTGGATTTGTGATAAAAAGAGATACGGCAAAATTTCCGAACAGCCCTCTACTTCATTATGCATACAGTTCTTTTATAAAGAAAACAATGACACCGGGACTACGGTTTTGTAGGAATGATATCTGGCTGTATGGAAATCTCTCAAAAGATAATGAACAATTAAGCTCAATAACGAAAGAAGGTCCTTGAATACCGATAACTATTCCGCCTTTGGTGAAAAACAGGAATCAAACTCAAAGGATAGTTAAGGAATGCAATCAACATCCAACAGCATTAATACCTTGGGAAACCATCCTCGTTTTTCAGAGTCCCATTCATAAACTGTTCCATCTGTTGGATCAACGTACGTTTGACGTTCCTCTGCAACTTCAGGAACACTGCTCTTAGCCTTCTCTTTGAGCTCTTGGAGAAATTCCTTGGAACTGGAACTATTCATTATGATGTACTTTGGTATTTTATGCCAAAGGCTATAAAAATTTTAAAAAGGCCACAGTGTATAAATAATTCTCTTGCAAGCCAAGTGTCGAAATACGACTTCGTGTTTGTGAAGCTGCAGAGTTATTGTTATGTCTGCTGCACTGAATTGTCTGCAACATACTCGACTAAGAGGCCTGGTAGCAAAGCTGACAATGTAACGGACTTCCTTCGTACTTCCGAACAACTTCCGAACAAGCGCCCGAGCGGAGTATAAGGGTATTCAGCGGACACCCATCTAGAGCTAAATAACCTGTGTAAGTGTCATAAAAAAGACAGGACATTTTCCACGAGCATACATGATTTCCAAAATGACAAATTAAATGTTTCCCGCTCAGTAAATGTTAGTCAGCTTTCTCACGGGTACCCGTTTATGACATATGTTATGTAAAACCCTATGTTAACCTGCTTTATCCACAACTGAACTGAGAGTATTACTATGCGATTTCGGTAAAATTTTGCAGGAAGGTCCACGCGGAGTGACATAGTTTATGTCTGTTAGATTATTAAAAAAAAAAGTAAAATTAAAAAAAAATTAAAAAAAAAAAAGATAACGAGCTCAAGAGAATTTGACAATTATTGTAAAGAAAACAAAAGACAAAACCCAAAAAAGGAAAACAAAAAGTCTCGGTAAAGCCTCTATTTTTACAGAGTAATAATATATATCCATGCATCTTGGTAAGAAATCTAATTTTTGTGCCAAATTGAACTGAATGTATTTTGGATGCAACGTTTCATGCGCGAGGTAGGAAATGCGTCATGTTCCTTTTGTATAAAGGTAGCTTTAAATTGTCGCCCCAAGTAATAAAGCTTGCATAATAGGAGTTAGTGTCAAAATATTATTATCGTCGTCTCCCTTTTTTTTCCCCAATGAACGTAGCTGGAGTTTTAAAAAAAAGGTCAGCAATTTGAATCAACAACTTTCACTATTTACAACCTTTACGGTCCCTTTTATTGGGGAAATAATCTCACCGATTGATGCAAGCACCAGCTTCCTTTTGGCAAGGACCAAACAGACCGTGGACTCAATTGATATCTTCCACATTTAGCTGCAATGCTAAAAGAGAAAACTCCTAATACTCGCCGTGGAACTCGAGAAAAACCTTCGCTAAGTTAACATGTAGATTTAGTTCTGACAGTCTTAAGTCTTCTCTTAGCATTAATTTTAAACCAGCATCAAACAATCCCAGTGCATGGAGCTCAGAAAACGTTTTCATCAGTAGTCGCATCGCACAAGGGAATTCTCTAGAATTATTTCCGAAAAAAGAGACAGTATTGCACTCTTTTATTTGTTAAAGAGTTTGATAATAATTGAATCAGAGACCAAAGTAACTTGGAATTGTGATAAGGTGTATTTGTTTTTCTTTTTCCTTTGCAAATGCCTTTATGTGAGATTATAATTATTCAATCATTAAATGATATTGAAAAAAGGGTTAAATTGACGGGGAAAATGTAGAAAATGATGTTAAGTAAATAAATTATACCTATGATTTACTTTTAATAACACAAGCAAACGTAGGGTGAGCAAAAATAGTGGACAATAAATCTTAAATAAATATTGTGCACACAACTGTTCCAGTTCTTAAACTTGCCTATTTATTGATCAGTATTTTGATGACACTTTACACCTTCCTGTGGTGCATGGGCATTCGGCCTTCTACAAGTGATATTTCCTGGTTTTTTTTAATTTTCTTTTGTTTTGATTTTAACAACAATGGCTTACAGGAATAATAGGTGAAACTCTAGAGTTAAAAAAGTTTTCTACCTTTTCTTTGTTGGCGTTCTTTCTATTTCGCGAAATGCATTTTTCGTGACTCGTGAAGCTTTTGTCGTCCTGGAGTTTGCATTTGCCACACCAGTTTGTTACGTTACGAATTTTCTTTTATTCACCGTTATACACAAATCGAACGAGAGCCAATGCACACAATTGATAACTTCTTTGAGAAGTGTCCGAATCGTTGTGTTTAACAAGCCCCAGCGAGCGAGGCCGTCCGCCATTACCACATATGCTAATATTCCTCGTTGATATCGCTTCTTTCAGTTCTTTGTGTGATTCATTTTCTTTATTCTTGACCGAAAACGCTCGATTGCACTCTCATTTGGACAAACTTCCTCACCCTCCCCCCCAGCCCGGTATTTGAAAACTCTCCATACCGACAATTGATATTATTTAATGATGCATATTCCAGATGGTCGACTGGTATTCGTGGGCGCGCAACGAGTGCAAGTGAGGTCATCGAGGTCGCGGGTTCGAATCACGCTATAGGAGTTATTCTTAATCTGGCTTGGGGGCCGAATAACTTCTCCCCGAGTATGATTTGGAGCTGGCGGACAAGGAGTAACTCTCAAACTGGCTTGGGGGCCGAGTAACTCCTCCCCGTGGAATTTGCATTTTGATTTTGATGTCTTTTTCTTTTTCTTTTTCTCTTTTTCTTTGTTTTCTGAGCAGTTATTTTTTTAGGGCCACTAAGCATTCTTCAGTGATATGGTTTTCGTACGTCTTTGTTTCTTTTTTCCTTTTCTTTTTCCTTTCTTTTTCTCGAAATTAGATGTAATATAAATTAGCGTATGTCGGTCAGTAAGAAGTTCAAATAATAATAACAATAATAATAACAAATAATAAATTTTTTGCAATTTAATGTTATTATTATTATTGTCATTATTATTTTCACTTCTTACCGACTGAGTGCGAGTGCGGTACTTAGAAATATTGGCCCCAGGTCGTGGTAATTCGGACCGAGTGCAGCGAGGTCTCCACAAAAACGACAGTATGGTTCGAGTAAGCGAGTTTAATAGGTAGATTATTAAAAATTTTTATTGCATTGGTTGTTTTTTAAATTTTCCAAGGAGTTTTGTCGATCCTGGAAAAACTTGTTGTTCCTTGCATCAGAAATTATGGAGCAAGAAAATGGTGCTGAGGAAATTAATTCAAACTTAAAGAGACAGCCGTAAAGTCAATCCGCTCACCACTTTCGATAACAAATGAACGCTTTTTTTTGGTTGTTCTTAACGATTTGCCCATCACTATGAAACATTTGGAAGGTTGTGGATCCATTTATAGATCTAAGTTTGCACCTGCAAAAACTAGAGCGGTAGAAGTAGAGTCCCGTAGATGAAGTAAAGGCCTGTTAGAACTGTTCTTCATGACTAGCTAATCAATGAGTTTCCATTCGTGGTGGTGGTAATTGGTGTAGTCGAGCGAGTGGCTTCTTGAAATTTTTGATTTTGCACACTTGAGAAAATTTCATCTCTGGATTCAGAACAGTCTACTCTGCTGAGGATCATAGACATTCTCTTTTTGTGTTTATAATTTGCTGATTGCAAGTAAGATTGTAAAATTCGGCTCCTTGTAAACTCTTTCTTGGTTGGGCCTCAAAGTTTTCCAGAATATCTGCATCGAGGAGCCTTGAAATACAGGTTTTCATACTAGAATGATTAGTTACCCTTTTTCCATCAAGCTAAAGCCCAGCATTCTTCGCTTTCATGGAGAGATACTTTCTAATCTCAGTTTTACCGAGGGGTGCCTTCATATACCAAACTTCCTCATTTGAGAGTCGATTATGGTGGACCGCCAAGTAAAACGGTGACTCTGGTTTATTCAGGCATCTTCACTGGCCGATGACTACAAGATTTCTTGTAGAAATTGCCTGAGTAATTCACCGACGAGGGCAATTTATGCAATTTCTGAAAAAACAAGTGATATTAATCCTTAATTTTATTCGGTCCCAAATGATTACTTAAACTAATTGAACAAGATGAATGCCGCGTCTGGCAAAAAGTAAACTTGTTGTAAAAGAAATGTCTGTGTAATAAATGCGTCCACAGAGGTAAAAATGCGTCATATCTGGCGTGTAACACTGTACCAATGCAAACACTTCTTAGCTTCTTCGAGAAGTGTCGGAAGCTTAACTTATTGTAAAAGAAATGTCTGTGTAATAAATAAAGTTTTTCTGTGAGGCACAAGAGGCACCGCTTGCTTTTGTTGCTGTAGGCCCGGACGGTCGCTAAAATACTCCAGTTAATTGAAAAATTGCTGTTGTTGTAGCATATGAGCCATTTCACGCAACTCTACACCATTTGTGTGCACGCTGTACCATTCGATATTACGCTGAGCCATTTCACGCAGCGCTACACCATTTGTGTGTACACTGTACCATTCGACTTTACGCTGAGCCATTTCACGCAACGCTACATTGTTTGTATGTACGCTGTACCATTCTACATTACGCTGAGCTATTTCACGCAACGCTACACCGATTGTGCGTACGCTGTGCTACTCGACATTACCCTGTGTCATTTAGTTGACGCAACGCTACACCGTTTGTGTACTGTATTGCAAATGAGTACTAAGCTATTCGTAATTGAGCCGGTCCATCTCACAATTTCATGTTCCAACTCGACATTGGCAACTAGACCGTTTATCATTTGGCTGAACTATCCATGTTTAGGGTGTTCTGTTTCATGAAGGAAAACTATCTATGCAGCTAATCTTTAGACCAGCTTTGTATTTGCTGATCTATCTGACATCCTTGTATTTTTGGTGGTAACGGCCGCCCATAGATGGGACAGTATGGGTGGCAAATTGTGAAAGGTGCAGAGTCGAATTGCTGGCCGACTTTTCAAAACTCCAGCTATACTTCAATAATGGAAAAAAGGGAGAGATCGATAGAAACCTTTTTGGCACTAACTGCTATTGTTCAGGCTTAATTTCTTTTGGGGGACAATTTGAAATTACCATAGAATAATATGCTATGCAACTGTCGCTCAACATGCTTAAATCAGATGTAAAACTTTAAAAAAAAAAATGAATAACTGGCTGTAATAATGATAATATAAACAGAGATAAAGATATTAGACCTTATTTCTAAAAAATAATGGAACAAAAGCAACCGAAACGTACCAAAACTGCATCCGAAGTTATCACAATAGTCCAAAAAATGACTGCTCATAAAAGAACGAGAA